CCCTAGTCAAAGGCTGAGCACCACTGGCCTAATGTAATATTACAAAGGATTCAAAGCAATCCAGATCTGAGGTCTAGGAAAGTGCCTAGGGGCAGGAGTTGGTGGTATTTTCAGGAAATAAGTTATACCAACCTGATTCTTTTTGTATATCTTTGCCAGCCCTTCAGGGTGAGTTAAAACACGGTAGGAGCGTTAGAGGGTTAGAAGAGTTTGGTAAGATGCAGAATACTTCTTCTCTTTTCCCACACACGATAATTCAAGTATATATGTATAGGTAATTGCCACATTTTCTTTCTGGCTGCATTTTAGAGGTAGAGAGGCATGGTTTTGTGTGTGTGTGTGTGTGTGTGTGTGTGTGTGTGTGTGGATGGATCCTTTGTACACTTGGTGATTGACTTTGAAGTGATACAGGGATCCTTTGTATGGAAGGAGCTGTGTTAATGTATTATGGACTTTAAGATGATATTAGCCGAAGTGATCTGAGCCTTTAAAATTGGCTTGATGTAGTTCAAGAATCACGACAAGGTTTGCGGTTAGCTTTTATTACTTCCCACCCGATTAGCCTACTCTTATGATTAACTGATAGATTTAAAGGTGATTGCCCACCCACCCAAAATAACACTCCAATGTGGTAGACATCATTAGACCGGGCTGTAAAAGGGCTTTGTTACCTTCTTGTTACCCTTCTGGGCTGACTGTAATTCTGAAATGGAAAATAGGTGCCCTGCAGTAAAGTATAGTTAAAAAACTAGGTAAAGGAAATATCATAGATTATATTTGGGAGCTAAAGTCACCCGGGGGAAGGTATCACTCATGCAGCCAAAGTTGTGATCATCTCTGTAGTGTCATTCTCCCTTGAAAAAGTGAGATCCTTGAAAACAGTTTAAAACTTAATCACTGAACCTTGATAAAAGAACTGTCTTCATGATTGCCTCCTACCTGGGTGAGAGAGATGTTCATTTAGAACGATGGCAGATTTCCCAAAGGGTAAGCACTTTGTCTCTGTGCCACGTAGACAAATCTAGCACTGCCGGGAGAATTAATGAAAGGTGCCTCTTCTATTAGTCATTTGCAGTTCATTGAGAATAGCAGGATATTTAATGCCAGAGTACATGACATAAAGCAGTTCATAACTTTGGAGTAGGATATTTCATGGGTTTTTATTTTAATTCCGGGCAACATATAATTCTCCAACGGGGATTGCGAGAACCTGCATTGCCTTTGTAACTTAGGAGTGTGCTCCCAGTCCCTTGTCAAGTTCTCCAAGTGACCTGGTGAAGTGCCAGAGTGAGGTCTTGTGCGAAGTGGAACAGGGTGTATTCATGCCTCATGAAAGACTGTCCCAGAAGTCTCACATCCAGTCATAGCAATGAATCTTCAAGGAGACTGTTCCTGTGAGAGCCCCAAACTAGCCAGTTCTTCTGCAGCACCACGGAGAGTGCATTGGGTGTCCCTCAGTCGCACACGAGGCTAGCAAATGTCCTCGAGGTCTCCTTTAAGTAGTTGTGCTAGCATGCAGGTTTCCTTCTATAGCTTCTGACTCTTTCTACCAGTAGACCGCCATCTTCAGTGGGAGCAAAGTAGATGCTCAAGTATAGAAGCCTTGTCAGTAGCCCCGGTCTTTTAGACCTGCTCTGAGAAGGGTTAAGGCATGTCTGCACAGATTGCAAGCTGTGTGTGCCCATTCTGTGTGTGCTAGACCTGAAAAAAGATGCAGTGTAGCTGCTTTCATGACAGGCTGATGTCAGGGCAGTAAGAACACCCCAGATGGAGAGCTCACTGGTGTCTACCCACTGCCGCTCTGGGGCCACTACTTTGCTTCCATTTGGGGGTGTAGCTTGTGCAGAAGAGGTATGTTGTGTTTTGCTGTGGCCCTTCCTAGCATGATCTGGAGGAAGTGTTAACACGACCTTGGCTAAGAGGGTGTTGAATACCTCAGTGGCCCCACCAGCACCTTTGTCAGGCCTGTTCTTAATAGGGCTGCCCCCTAGGAGCAACGATGAAAAACAGGATGGCAGTGGAAAAACATGCAACGCTCAGGATAGGCCCCTTCCGCACTGCACTCATTTTAAGAGCTATGTGTCAGCCAGTCCCACATTACCTGTTTCCAGATCTAACCACAGGAGCTAGTTTCCATTTGAGGACATGGGAAATAGGCCCAGGAAATAGCTTTTGATAGAGGTCCTACTAGTCATCAGAGAATCCAAACTTCCTGGGGCTATGATTGCAGCTGAGGACACTGGGATCGGGAATCAGCTGCTCTGTCATTTCAACCCGAATGTCTAATTCATCACTTTGCCAACTGCCATTTTGGAGGCTTGTTATGAGGATTCATGGCCACTTCAGTTTGTTTCCAATAAATGCTTCAAGGGACTCTGAGCTGCACACTGTCAGCCCTGGAGAAATCTGAGAGGAGCCTCCTTTGTGGGATTTTTGACTTGGGAAGTCCCGGGGGCAGTGTAGTAGCAAGGGGACAGGTGCATAAAATTGCATCACTCCACTTGCTGCTTCAGCAAATGTCCAGGCCTGAAGCATTTCTCAGCAGTGCCTCTATCGAGGGGGCTGTCTGTGTAACAGGACCTCTGAGAAGATGGTCATTGGCATGGAGGTGTGAAAGGGGAGCTGCATTTAGTGGTCAAGAGGAATGGTAGGGGGTGACCTTCTGCTGAGGGACTCTCTTCAGAGGGCATTTTCAAGCATGCACTGCATTCCCTTGTATCGCCAGAGAGTGGCGTCACTTTTGTTAGCCACAACTGGCAGAGACTAGGACTCTGACTTGCCTTTACTTTTTATCATTGTTATATGACAGTCCTCATCATTATCATTGCTCCTGGAAGTTTACAGAGCTCAGGAAGCAGCTACAGTGCTGTACATCGGGGACGTCAAATATACTGTAGGCCCCAGGCCAGATCTGCGGCGTAGCAGCTCCTCAGGTTGAATCCAGCCCCCAGCACAGGATGGAGGCAGCAGCAGCCACCGGGGTGGCAGTAGGACAAGTAGCCACAAGCTGGTTGCTGTGGCGGGGGCTAGGCAGCTGCAAGGCAACTGAGGGCTGTGTTGCAGTCCTCGCTTGCTCCCTGCCACTGCTGGCCGTGTCCACTGGGTCCCCAGGATGCTGTGGCAGGCCCTGCCCATACCCCCAACTTGTGGTAGCCCGGCAGGTTGAATGCAGCAGCTCCATGGGTCAGATCCAGCCTGCGGGCCATGTTTGACCTCCCTGCGGTGATGCAGTGGAACGTGACACCTTTCCTGCTCTATGGCTTTTCTGACCTCGGGGCTAAGTGGTGCCCTGGCTTCTCTGTGAAGCACCACGCATGTGTGCAGAGCTCCCCTGGCTGAACAGGCTCATTCAAGGCATTTTTGCCTTGCAGGGCAGACACAGGCAGAGTGCCTGAGGTAATGCCTAAGGGAGTACACTGTATAGTGCTCCTAAAATCAGCTGGGGAGAGATGCAGCATACAGCTCATTCCAGGTGCAGAACTCAGCGTGTGTGTGTGTGTGTGTGTGTGTGTGTGTGTGTGTGTGGGGAGAGCGGGGTGTTGGCACTGGATTTATGACCCAGATACTTTGTTCCAGGCAGACTTGAACCCTTAGACCGACCGTGACCTCTCCATTCGATAATAGGCAAATTTTATTGATACACAGCGATTGCAAATAAGGATAATGCAAACAATTCTATACCTACCAGTCCTAGAGCTGCACAGACTCAAGGTACATCTGGCCAGTGCATGAGCTTCACTCTGGGGTTCTCTCTTGAATGTTGGATGTCAGCAGCCTGGAAGTTGGAGGCCAAGGGCCCCCTTGTCCCCTCCCTTCACTGGGGTGGGTGAGACAGGCTGGTGGTATGCCCTCTGCCCCTAGTGGCCTCTGGTTTCCCTCTTGGGAATCCATTGCTGCTCTGAAATCCCTTCTTTTGTATTCTTTTCTCCTCCTGATGACTCTTCACCTCTGACCATCGCTGATTGGTCCCTGTGGTCGTCATACTGTCCACGTTTTGTCCTGTCAGCATATTCCTTTGTTTCACAAACCCGTCACATGCACACATCCTAATATAGGCTTTCTCGGTCTTCTCTTAATTTGGTCTGTTCCCCAAAACTGGAAATCCCAAGGGCCCTGCAGTTGGGCACTGTGACCTGGTCAATGCAGCAGAGTCCTTTATCTCATGTTATGGAACAGTGTGGTACACATCTGCAATTTCCCAGCCCATGCGTCTGCTGCTTGCCTGTGTCAGACACAGTGGGCCTTGAGCAAACTGTCAGATACAGGCTTTTAGAAATCAATTAACCCTTGCTGTTGCCCTGGACCGCTCTTTTAATACATATTTACCTTACCTACAAGCCAGTTCCCAAAAGCAAACCTCTGAATACCACTTTCTAGCCATTGTGGGGGTGGAGAGGGTGTATTGGACTTGGACTTTGCCCCCTTCACTGCTCAGGGACCGTAGGTCAGCATTCATCATCCTGCTCTAATTCTGCAGAGCTGGTTAAGGAAAAGCCCACCACACTGTGCACCTGGGCCAGGCCAGCAGG